CTCTGGGTCGGTGCGTCGCCGAGACCTCGTTCCCTTGCTCGGTGCGTCGACGAGAGCTCGTTCCCTGGGTCGGTGCGTCGCCGAGACCTCGTTCCTTTGCTCGTTGCGTCGCCGAGAGCTCGTTCCCTCGGTCGGTGCGTCGCCGAGACCTCGTTCCCCTGCTCGGTGCGTCGCCGAGACCGGATGCTCGAGCTGATTCGAAAGGATCCCAACGCTTCTGCTGCTCGCGCCCACTGCCTCACTTCTTCGTCTTTCCTCCTAGTGGCACACCCGTGACAGTGCCCCAAACGAGCGCTTCATTACACACCAATAGGTTGATGTGAGCCCCTCGAATTTAAGCTGAAAAAAACAGGATTGACTGTTTCCGCTAACGGTGTTGCGCAGCGTACATAAACACTAAGGTACCCTATCACAAACAGAAGCATACGAAGAAGGAAAAACTCATTTCATTGGGAAAACAAAACAAACTAATGATATAAATGGAGCACTTCTGTGATTCCTGTGATTCCTATAACGTCGAAAACGCCGACATAGTTCCGCCTGGTTCCGTTATTGTATGTAGTTCCGCTTGGCTTTCGCAATCTCCGCAATCCGGAGACGGCCGGCTCGCCCACTGTATGTAGGGCAGCTGGCACTGATGCGGAACTTCGCTGTTTCTAGCGGCTTCGTTTGCTCGTTTAATAAAACTAGTGATAAAAATATCAATGCAACCGAAATGTTCTGCACCTTTGGACTAGAAGACGGAAGTACAGGTGGCCTTTGCTGCCACTGAAGCTCAATCAAATCAACAACATTTATTAAAGAACGTGCGCGACCTGCTCGAAAAACGAATTCGAAAGAAGATGAGTCTGGACGGCGAAAGCTTTCATCCGTCTACAAGGGCTTGTTTTCTCGAACGCGAATAGTGGTTTAAAGTTAACTATTGTCCCTAGAAGGGGGAATTCTAGGTCACGTGATTGGGAGAGCAGGGGCGCCGAGGGAGGAGCAGTACCTACAAGCAAAATGGCCGCGACGTCGCTTAATGAGGGCTAATAGTTCTGCTTGGTTCTGTTGAACATTAATTTCGATCCGGCTGTTATATTAATGACGCACCATCAACCTATTAGCACATCAATCAAAGCGGTAGTTCAGAGGGACTACTAAACTAACCGACGGCAGCATTCCGCGAATGCATCACTCTTCAGCAGTCCGTAATCCAAGACATATGACGGTACATAAGCCTTGCAAGTGTTTTTATGGTAAGTAAAAAAAATGTTTTGCGAACGAGTGTTGGTATGTATTTATACTAACACGTTTAATTTGTTACACTATGCATGCCGACTCGTGAGCAGCGATTACTTTGCGGAGGAAGGGAATTATCCTTGATAAAGTCTTCGTTCTGAGACATTGTACTGTTTTTTTGTTCGCAGTGCGCCTACAGTATGCCGACAGCATCGAGGTTTCTACATATCCCCGGTGGCCAGCAATTCAACGGTAACGAGAAGCTTAGCTTCTCGTCGCCGTTGACGAGAACGGTGACCAGCAATTCAACGGTGACGAGATCCACCGGTGACGAGAAGCTTAGCTTCTCGTCACCGGTGGATCGGTTGGGAAAACGGAAGAGAAGGCAAACAGTTGAGATCAGCAGGAAACGCAGAAACGCGCGTAGCAAGGAACAAAAATGAGAATACAACACCGGCGTTGCCAGACTGGAAGGCACACGGAAAAGTTATGCGTTGTTTATGGCGAAAGATGTTGAAGGAAATGTTTCGTACATTTTCGAATATTCGTCGACAAACTCTAGCATAGCAGCTAAAGTATCTTCGTACCATCTGAAGCAAATAAATTGGTCTGCAAGTACAACATCACTATATTTTGACGTATAATAGCATACTAGATCGATAACAACCAGCAGAAAAAGAGGATAAACAAAAATGACTGGCTTGTTTTACCGATTGATGGCGCAACTTACTGCTCAATCAAATATAATTAGTGTTCTATATCCAGCCGCTTATTACAGTACCTAGGTACTTTTTCCTTTCTAGGCACCGTGGTTTACCAAAATGGGTTTACCATCGCTTCGAGAAAACCGGCCCTGGAGAAGGAGAAAAACGTTTCGTTCCTCCTTTTTTCCCATGTCCGATTGGGGGCGCGTGAGTAGGAGGGAGGAAGACGCGCCGTTGCTACCTTTTTCCTCTATTTTGTCTTAGAGTGTGGTGTAAGTGAGGGGAGAATGTACCTGGCGAGCTCGCGATGGCACGCGCTGCCCACACGAGCGACACGTGCTTGGCGGCCCAGAGATCCTTGTATGACGTCACGACTGGTCGCAGTTTGTCGTGTTTTCGCATTTAGTTACATCTTCGGCCAAAACGTCCGTGATATTCAGATTCACGGGATAAAACTACGTTAGAATTCACCTCCAACTCGTTTTTTTTTTCAAGAAGTGTTTCAGCTTCTATTTAAATCTGTCCCCAGATTTCCGCTAATACGGCGAACGCTGAAGTGCGCGAGCGCTTTGGTCAGTGGCGTACCAACTTGCTTTTAAGTGGGGGGGGGGGGGGGGGGGGGGGGGAAGGGGACAAACAAGACTCCCCCCCGGGGCCTTGGGGCGGTTGCCTAGATAATCTTTGGGCGTCGCCGACCAGTGTTTGCCCTGCCCAGCCGCGGCTGCTTCAGGGAGGGCAAAACACGTGCCTTGCCTTGCCCACCCCTCCCACTCTGAGAACTGGGAGGGGGAGGGGGCAAGCGCCCCTCTTGCCCCCCCCCCCCCCCGGTTGCTACGCCCATGGCTTTGGTAAATTGGTCTTTGGATGTTTAAACAGTCGGAAGTTAGTCTGCCTCATTGCGCGTCTGATGCCTTATCTGTAGATGATCAATTTAGCTGGTGCGGTACAACCGCTAGCCTTGAGTCTTTCACATGCACCACGCAGTAGTGATACACGACCTCACACCGGTACGATGTTCTTCCAGAGCCACTCAGCTGATGTGCTGCCTTTCTCTTGCAGTGTTTCCTTTTATCCAGCCCTCGCGCGGTTTGTATATTACTTTTCACCTTAAGTCCAGACGCTGGCAACTCTACAAACTTACGCGACCATTTAAACAAGATCAAAAGTGCACCATTTCGGAGTTTGGCGTGTTTCCGTAGGTCATGTTTGTCATATTCCAGTCACCCAAGCGGCTGCTTTTGTACGAATTTTGAGTGACGGGTTAATTCTCTATAATCTTCCAGAGGGACAATAGAGACTTCTGGGTCACAGAAAAGGGATTTTTAGAAATAGGGGAGTTAATCCTTCCCCTCTTCTCTCGTCGTGACCTGAGGCGAGACAAGTGTCGTCACTATCTGCCAAGGTTCCTAGACTGGCATTACCAACGAGGCGTTAGCGACAACCACCAGGTGCTCTTTGCTAATCGTTTAATTCGTGTCTTATATGATTCTGTTCCTTTGAAAACATATGGACCAAAAAATAAGCGCTGAAATTTCGTTGTAGTATCCCTTTAAGGGGGTTTCGGAGGCATTGGGACGCGCGCTTAGGCCGTTGGGGGTACGTACCATATACAAACAGTACACAACAATTTCCTAGATTATCTCGCCGCCAAAAACACTATCCATTCAGAGACAGAAAGTGGCGTGATCTACCAGGGCCAGTGCAAGGAATGTGACGCTCTCAATATTGGAGAGGCGGGACGAAAAAAAAAACAAGACTAAAACAAAAACGCACGGGACGTCGCCAAGGCCACGAACGCCTCCCACTTTAAATCTGAACTCTTCAACCACGCATGGACCTTAAGCCACAAATTTGACTTTGGAAAAGCATCGACCTTGGCGAAGGATAAAAGGTGGGGACCGACAAAGCTGCTGGAATCTTGGTTCATCCCGAACGACGAACGCGAAAGTGACAAATCTCTGGTCAAAAAGAACTGTGGCCTCCTACCGGATAGGTACACAAACTTGATACCTAAATAGCCGAACTTTCCGGGAAACCCTCATTTTCTCTTTGCATCACTGAAAATGCCTCCCGCTTAGGAGGCGAAACAAGTAATTAAATTGCTATTTTGATGTTTCAAGCCGTTTTTGTTATTACAGTTATAATGTCTTTGTCTGGTTTATGGAGTATTTTTGCGTAAAACAAAGAATCAAACTCTCCCGGTATATATTGCTTGCGAGAGGCTATACACGAGCACGATGTTTACATAGAAGTCCGCGTTTCCTCACATAACGTGTGGTCACAGAGATTGCGTAAAGACTAGAGTCGTATGAGATAAAGGGTGTTCGCATGTGAAGGGCCGACAGAAAAACAACAGCAGGCGCGTGACGGCGAGGGGCTGAGTTGGTGCATGAAAGAACTTTACGGGAGGCGAACCTTTAGGGGAAATGGTCGTACTGCGCGTGGAAGCAACGACTGTGAGTAGATCCGCAGCTGAGTTGATTTACTTGCAGTTACTCAAGCCCACTGTTCGCTCAGCGCTGAAATCAGCATTTACCTGAATTAAATCCCGCCTCAATCACCTGACCTCTCTGTTGGTATGACATTGACGACAGAGCTAAAGACGGATCAAATTACCAGCCAAATGTTTATGTGCAAAACAATTGGAGATAAGGGTATTTTGTTTAGTATAATCTACAGCGCACACGAACAATTCACACTGAAACACACAAACCAATAAAAATGAACCAGCCATGGAGTGTTCACTATCAACTGAGTTTTGTATTTTGTCTTCTACGCTGTTTGCACTTCTATCACACGTCAGTTTTTACTTGGATAAAGTATTAGAAGGATGGGTAATACATTTTTGCATCAAGTTTTACAATGTTTTTAAACTCAATAGTTTCTCGCGTTTAAACTTTAAACAAATGGTGCATGTATGGTTTGACCAAAGTTGGCCATTGCAGTACTCTACAGACACCGCAGATGTCACGCTGTGTTACATCAAAAGATTTCTAAACAAACAATCACATATAATTTACGTTTCTTTGCCACTGAGAATTGTCTATCCGCTCAAAAGAGCGCTCGCAAACTTACAAAAACGGCTTCTTGCTTGCATCTTTCCACGGCTTTTCTCAAACTCTGCTCCTTCTCTTCCCTGCTTGATAAAGGGTTATCAAAGACCTTGCAGAATGATAGGCTTTCTTTCGAGGAGGAATGAAATACATCAGCTCGTCCGTGAAGGAATTGGCGAGCCGAAGACGCTCCATACGCCATGACCGGGGTGCCAGTACACCTGGTAACAGAAAGGCCCACACACACCTTTTTGCAGAACACGAACACGATAAATAAGCACATAAGTGAATCAACACAATTTTTAAAGTTGAGATAAAGTTAACAGCGATTACATATTTTTTAACTTTATATGTACGATCACTTTCAGAAACGCCTGCGTCAACCTTTCTGTATTCTGTTTGGCATTAACAAGTACTCAGTCTGCTGTGCGGACAACGAGTAAATTACTAGACGTTCTGGTGCAAAATAAGTTAACCGTTTTTACGGGATACTGCAAGCGAGAGTGGATGTAATATGTATAAAAAACAAAAAGTGAAAGCCGTTTACAATTCCCTGTAACGCCGGTTAGAGCGCAGCTCTTAAGGAGGAGGGTGGAAGCGTGCTAAGCGATAGGTGACACCTTGAGGTCACGTGACCTCAGGGGGGTCGTGTGACGTCAGGGGGGTCACGTGACCTCTGGGGAGGGGGGTCACGTGACCTCATGCGGTCACGTGACCCCCTCCCGCGTGACCTTAGGGGGTCGCGTGACCTCGGTGGGTCACGTGACCTTAGGGAGTCAAGTTTCCTCAGGGGGCACGTGACCTCAGGCGGTCACGTGACCTCAAGGGGTCACGTGATTTCCGGGGGTTCACGTGGCCTCAGGGAGGTCACGTGGCCTCAGGGGGTCACGTGATCTCAGGTGGTCACATGACCTCAGGGGTCACGTGACTTCACGGGGGTCGCATGACCTCAGAGGGGTCATGGGGCCTCTGGGGGTCACGTGACCTCAGGGGTCACGTGACCTTATGGCGTCACGTGACCACAGGGGGGTCATGCGACCTCAGGAGGGGGTCACGTGACATCAGGGGGTCACGTAACCTCAGGGGGTCACGCGACCTTTGGGAGTCACGTGGCCTCAGGCGGATCACGTGACCTCAGGGGGTCACGTGACATCAGAGGGTTACCTGAACTCGGGGGGGGGGGGTTCACGTGACCTCGCGGTTACGCCGACGGCGACGCCGCTCAAGCCGGAAACGGGCCTCTAAGAGCTGCGCTCTAAAAAAACCAGCAAATACCCAAAGCAATAAAGAGGGGAGTGACGTCAGGTTTGAAATATGTAATAAATTAAAGTGTACACAAGAAGAAGAAAAAAGTACAGTGCTCAATGAAACAAAATGAACCAGTGGAGCCTGAGCGTGTGGACTCGTGAGTACACAGTTACACCAGAGATACTTGGAGGATCTTGAAGGCGGGCCATATGAGAACTTTAGAGTAAAGTAACTATTTATAGTAGCCTATACGTTAGAGTACCTGCAAATGCTCCTAGAGCTGAGCATACGCAGTCACTTTAGCGAGGCCACGCACTCAGCTGGTCCACTTCGTTTTGTTGAGCACTGAACATTGTGATACTGATGAGCACCAAGATACTTTTTTCAGTTGAGAGCGTCGAGACCGGCAGACTAATTTTCAAATCGGTTCAATTGTGATGATTATGTTTAATGAGTGGGGTGCAGTATATAGCATGTGGCACGAAGAGTTTTATTCCCGGAGGCATTTAAGGTAGCCAGAATCATCCGCTTTCTATGGACTGCGCGACACATTGCAGCTAAAAGAGTCCGTGCAACGAGATTGGGTATAAACGTTGGCACATCGTTAGTTTTGCATCATGTCGATGTACCAGAAACTTCTTCTAATTTGCGAGCCAGAAACATAACTTCTGTCCAAGGCTCGCCAAAATAATTGACGCTAGAGAAAATGAGCCATCTGAGTGTAATATTCAAGAGGGAGTGCATATTATATTTAAGTTCTAGCACTATGTTTACAAGTAAAAAGCATTGGTAGAAGTGTAAATTACTTTAAATGATCGCTAAATCGGTGCAGTTAAGCAAACTTCCTACAAAAAGGGTGTTCTCCAGACATCAGCCTCTTCCACGCCCCATTTTCGCTCTCCAGATATAAGTGGTGTTCAGTGCAGTAGCATCCTATTTAACGGTTCTCAATGACGCAGCATCCATCGTCTGCCACTTTGCGGAGTACAGAAATCGAGCTTCGGCTTGATCGACGCTTGTGACCTGGCTCCAATAACGATGAAGTTATGCGCAGGTCTTTTCTTCTATGTGATACTGACTTACCCCCACCACCAAAAAATGCATACCAGGCGAATGTGTAGAATACAGGAGACGTTCTAGCGTCACTAATGTTTAGAGACACTAATGTTTAGAGATGTTTAGAGATCGCCGGACTCCTACCTACACGGCAGCCCTCATCAACGCGTATTATGTGCTCGGCTAATAGTTCTTCCTAGAACGAAGCGATACTACCATTAATCGGAACTGATAAACTTGGCGATCTTCCAACGCCTTCCATACTTGCGAGCTCTTCTCCGAGAGTGCGCAGAGGTGATCTAGCTACTCCTATGACTCCTATCCTACCTCACCCCTCCTCAGCTACCCCTCTGGTCAGATGACCTCCCCGATAACCAATCAGCGTCGAGCACTTCACTCCTCCTCTCCCACCAGCCAACCAATCAGTGTGGAGCCTCCCGGCCACGTTTCATCTGGGCTTCACAAAATGCCAAACACCCAGGCAAAGAACATCTCACGTTTATAGCACCTAAACTCAAGGCGATGTGTCGTCACGTGCTGGAAATAAGCTTTCGTAATGAATCAAAAGGTATGGGTGAGATGCGCGCCTGGCTCCAAAGCGTTTTTATGTGATTCCAGGTTTCGAGCTTCACGGGCACGCTTTTGTCCGGGCTTCACTTGTATCTGGGGTTCAGGAAATGACCAACTCCTAGCCAAAATATTACAGAACGACCCTTAAAACTGCTTGCGTATGCATTCCTACACGCACCGCATTACTGCAAGCAGCGCGACACGTCTTCTTTTTTCATCCGGCGCTCTGGCGATGACATAACGCAACCCCACTGCGCAGGCGCGGCACCAACTCCGGCTGCAATGACGAAGCTTCTGCGCTGGTGTGCTTTTCGTTGTGTTTTATTTCTGAGGCTCGCCCGCTTTGAACTTTAGCGGCAAGTGCTTGATCAGGTAATGGTGTGACTATCATTCGGGCATAACGACGCGGACTTTTCTCGTAGTAGGACGTATACCCCGGCCGGTTTAACGTTTTAGATTAAGACGGCGCGAAACATAGAGGGAAGCTCGTGGTGCCTTGATTGGCCCATTGAACGCGCGTCACAACCGCGCTCGACGGCGTCGGCTCTTTTGTGACGCCGCAGCCAAACACCAGTTATCCTTTGCCTCAGCGTAACTCCAGATGTAGCTCATGCTACAAGCTAACTGAACCGATCAAGCGAAGTGAAAAGCGCAAATCATTGAGTTCTTTTTGTCTACCAATGGTTCAGCGACGATAGAACGCGTACAGAAACATGACGAACGCAAAGATGGTCCGCCTTTGACGCTGCCTAATTGAACCAATCAGCTCGTAGCGTCGGCTACAACTGGACTAAAGCGCCTTCACAAAGGCGTTTGTTAAGAATACCGCCAACTATTGTTGAGGAAACACGCATGACACGTGCCACTACCGGGAGCCCTACCGCCATTTCCTTCCAAGGACCTCTCGAAATACAGAACTCCTGCACTGGCGCATTTGAAGCTACTTGCAAGACAAACGCAAACACATCGTCGGGTTGTAGGTTGGAATTAAAGGCACTGTCCGTTAAGATGTCTTTCAGAAAACAATTAAGTTAAAGTGTTTTTTGGTAATATTATTCGCATGTTATCCAAGTTTTTAATTCTTCGCCGTGCAAGTAATTTAATTTTAAACAGAACACAACTGCTGAGATGGCACTCGGAAAACACACAGCGTTTGCTTTGGTAACAGCGGAAGGCTCTGACGTAACGTCATTCAAAGGGAGCCATGACAGCTCTTGATTACGGTCTCGGTAAAATACCTTTGTTCCTACAAATACAAGATTTACTGTGTCGATGAAAGCTGAATTCGTCGACGACGATCTTTGTACGCAAGATTGACCATGTTAATCAAAGCCGAAAACAATTTAACGCCTCCGGCTCTGGCGTTACCATGCCTCATGTGGCGTCACGACAAGACCAGCCATGCATTTGTTGTGACATTTGGCGTCACGTTTGATATTGATGTCCATAATTCATTGAACGAATATTGGGGCGTTTCTTAATCAAATAAATCTCATATCTAACATTATTTAGAAGCTTTATACGTGATCAGCGCAAAACTGTAGAAAGTTTCTTATATCACCGGACTATTCCTTAACCTGAAAGAAACACGTAGACAAGGCCGGAACTCTCCAAGGCGTAAAATCACCAACGTCACAACGAGTAGAGAATTCTGAATGTTGAACATCTCTTTGGGCTTCACATTTTTTCTGGTTTTCCGATGGTTGGTGATGTAGCGATGTATGCAAAATGTTTTAACAATGAGTAAAATACCACTTTATATTCACCCATTTGTAACTTTTTCATCATTCAAAAACATCATATATAATGTATATAAAATGTCGAGAGGTCCAAGGTTTTGTGACAAAGCAAATAAAACTGCCACCTCTTGATGAGAGGCTGCGGCATCGCAGTGATAGCACTACAACCGATTTTGATGCAGCGAAGCCTGTTGTAAACAGTCACAAACGACATAAAAATAGATTTAGTGCGCCCGGTTGTATTCAAACGAAGGTTTGAAAGCCAGCACCTATAGGTAAGGTGCCGTATTTTCGGGGTACAACTTCATTCTAGTTATGAAGCACTTTTTTGTTATTATTTATTTTTATTTCGATTTATTGTTCGTTAGTTTCATTTTTCGGCGTAGAAAAAAGGATCGGTGCTTATCAAGGATTATGTTGAAAAAAGCGGAACTCGAGCATGAGATTTCCCAATCACTTGGGAACATGCCCGTGATCCGAACACGTCCCGCTAGCCGTACGAAAAGGAAACAAGATAAAGGGTGTGATTCCGAAGAAACCAACCATATCCTTGATGTGTTTCCGAAAACAGACATTGTAAAACCCATTATTTCAGCGGCCACTATTTTCGCGGATCAGTCACAGAGGACATATTCCCAGCGATTAAGTTTCGCCATTTCCAGATGCCTGCAAAGAAACTCTTAAAGACCGGAATTTTTGCTTGCTCCTAAAGTCCGCAAGTTTTTCAATTTGCGAAATTAGAATAAATTAAGGGCACGCGAACATTAAGGACTAGCACACGAATCGTAGATTCCCAAACTTCGCAGGAAGAAATGACTACCTACTGTTTTATTCAATGTTAAGGCGGAACGCAGCCCAAACTGAGGCTGTTCCTATTTTTCGCAACGGTAGCCCTTAACGTGTTCTCTTATGTTATCGGTAGCGGGATATATTCGGATACCAAGCCCGTTCTCTAGAAGTTAGGGAATCTTATGCTCCCGTTCTTCAACGGAATTATCGATAAACACACATCATTACCTCGACACAAAAAAAGAAATAATTTATTTGAAAAACGCTAAATTGAAAAAAAAACACCCCAAATGGGGGAAAAAAAATGAACGCCGTCAATGTGTAGCCAAAATTTCAGAGCACAACGCATTACGCGCATGATGTTCAATACCCGAGTCCGTGGTAAAAGCTGGGAAACGTGGTCGAAGAAACATGACAGGGGAAAAGAATGTCTTAACTGAGACGTTCTTTTCCCCTGTCCTTTTTCTTCGACCAAGTTTTTCAGTTTTTAAATAGTCTCGGGTATTCTACATCATAATAAACTTCCGCCAGCTCGCCTGCGCACTCACTGTTTTTGCATTACGCGCGCAAGGCATTGTCTTCTTACCTGAAGGCCGCCAGTTGAACGGCCATCTGCGTGTAGCCGTCCGGACTGATGTTGCACGACTGGATGAACTTTTTTCCATAGTTGGAAAATTGATAGAAGAGCCTTTCAGTACCGCCAGTATATCTGTGGTGTTAACCGTCATTATTATTAATTACAGCATCCTAAATCAGTATCCTCAGCTAGTTACCCTTCATGCTCTCTTTCTTTTAAAGTAGCATTTTACACGAACTGCTGTTGAAGAACAATATGGCTCCCGTCTCTGACAAATGTAGAGAGGTGAAATCAGGACGAGGCAGCATAAGAAATATAAAAATCAAATTTCACTCCGTAATGACAGAAACCTGACTAGGTCTTTTCTGGACCTCGCCATATACATGGCGTGCACGTGACATCAGTACACCCTTTTTTCTGGTGACCAGAAGTGCATCGTTAATGCAGCGGAAGCTCGCGCCCTTCCTTCCTAGTATCTCGACAAGTAATGTCAGTGAACGTCATGTATATCTACGACCTACTTGCAGACTCCTGTGTGCATGCAATAAATTACGACAAGTAGTACTCCAGTCGTATATAGCTATACCACAGGATGGCCAGTTTTTCGTGCCTTGTAAGACAGATGAAAAAAATTAGCGCCTGTATTTAGACAAGTCATCACTTCAGGAAATGTGCAATTGGGTAGTGCATTTTACCTTGAGAAGTTCGAAGACCGTAACTCTCTTTCTGTTAGAAATGACACTAAAACACTTCCCCGGTGAATGGCGGACGTGATCTCAGACACAAATTTACTATCAATGTAATTTCGGCGGCATCTCCTGAAAGCCGCACCTACCAGACAACAAAGGGCGTCGTCTGCTCGCTTCCGTTATTGAGAAATAACAAACAACAATTTCTTGCTTTGACTGTCAAGTTGATTAGTCTCATTTTTTTTTAGAAACCGAGAACCACTAGATGAAGAAGTTCAAATTGTAAAAAAAAATCAAAATCCAGCTGCACATTTGGTGAAGGTTAGAGCTTTCTGTGCGCTGAAGCCGATGTTTAAATTTTGTTTTACAGCGTAACGAACATTGTCGCCACCGTATGCATTAATTGTGGGATCTTCAGGATGTTTGAGATATAAAAAATCCGTATTAATGCCCCTATTGTGTTGTTGCGAAAATGAAGTTACAATGCTCAAAAAGCAAATGTATATTTAAAATAGTTTTCGTTTTATTCGTCACATTTTAGTAAGTGTTCCTGCAGTATTTATGGCACGTCGACAGTTAGACCGTCTATATATACATTGCTTTCCGCATTGTGATATTCGATTGGTCTTGCAGCTTGTATACTGACCTTGCATGGGACGATTTTGCTTTTTCTATGTCGTGTAAGGTATCAGGCCCAAGAACGAATTCCAGCTTCTGAGGAGCACCTTCCTCGCCGTCCTTAGATGCTTCGAAGCTCCCTGCCTTCTGGCTGCAATATTCGGCATTTATGTTAATTACATACTTTTAGTATATGTGCAGATATAGACAATCAAATAGCGAGTGCTTCACCTACAGTGGCAACCGACATGTCTATATATGTATATATGAATATTCATTAAAATATATATGAAGAAGTTTTTGAAATCTCAGCTTACTCAGCTTTCTAATCGTACATACTGAGTTGGTTAAATGTATTTCTTATTTATTTATCTGGCCGAATGCTCGAGAGTCGTAAAATCAAACAGGAACACGAGACGCGTGAGCCAAGCAAAGTTCCTGCAGCTTCTTTCACGCGTTAAACCAAGATTCACTTGTAAAAACGCACCAGTAAACTCGCGAAGATCAACATGACCCAAAATGTTTGCTTCCCTTGTAAAAAGAAAAAAGAAAAACGTTGAGGGGTTGCCAGGCGAAACGCTTTTTTAGTCAATCTTCCGTCAAAATTCTGCGAGTGAAAAGGCGCTTGGTTGTTTCAGTAGGCGTGTTCGTGGATGAGGAAGTAGAAATTGGTGACGTGCTGGTCAGGTGGTACACATTCCTCGGACGTCTATCGCGATTTGGTTTCACCGTGTCAATCTGCCACTAGAGGAGGGAATGACGTAGATGTGCTTCCGCTCGATAAGTAAGCCAATCCTGCCTTTTGTGGCTTGATCGCGTTGGTTCATTTGTATGCGCGTTATAAATGCAGTCACAAGGTTCAGAGGAAACAAAACACAAAAAAAAGAAAACAATGCAGTAAGTCATTTTTGACTTCTCGGGGACTCTGCTGAAGCTTAGAGGAAACTTCTATTTAATTGTGAGAAAAGAACGTTAGATTATCGCGATGCAACAGAAGCGGGTGAACTTGTGTAGAGTCTTGAACGAGGTCACTTGATGTGGCAGAAGGAACCGCTGCAGCGGAAGAATTGCAAAAAATGCCTGACATACTGCAGTCTGTGTGCATGTCCCCGTGTATTTTCTTTTGAAGACAACGCGCATGAGGAAATCTTGGGAAGAACTTGTAGTCGGGCTAGTTTTTGAACATCTATAGGTTGAACAAGATATTTTGTACGCGATAATAATGAACTACTCTCTCTATAGCGATTGCTTTCGTCTTTTTGCTCAAACTTAGTCAAAAGAGCGAAGCGCTGCGTTACCAATTTGGGAAACAACGATATTCCACTCTGTGAAGGTGGACGACCAGCGAATCTGTTTAGCACACGACAAAGACGTGACACAGAATTTCCAGCAAATGTACGAACAGATTTATTGTCTTGATCGGTGGTCACCGTGACGAAAGATACGCATACACATGTCGCGGCCAATCGCCGCTCCCAAGATCAGGAGGAAACGAGACACGTGCGGCAGGACCGCCACCTGGAGGAAGTAAAGTAAACTAGGTACGTAAGCGCTGGGAATGACGACAAAGAGAGGGCGGTCAGCTTCCTACCTCTACCCGTTCCCTCATCCTCTCCTGTGCCGCTAAATTTTCCTGCTAATTTATGAGGGGAAATGTTTCCGCTGAACTCGGCGGGGAAATTTGGGTGACGTCATATGAAATGGTGACGTCATTTTCAACTCTAAATTTGGCGGGAAATTGATATGGTGTTGAGGTAACGTGACGTCAATTTTACCCGCTAAATTTAGCTCAAAATATTCCTCCTCAAATATAGCTGAAAAAGTTTCCCGCTAAATTTGCTTGGGACATTTTTTATTTCAGCTAGAAAATTTTTCCTGATAAATTTAGCGGTCAAAAAGGAGTTTTTGTTGACGCACACGAAACTTCCACGGAACCCTAACCATAAACAGCTTCGCTGTAAAACCGAGTAATGAACGGCACTCCTGGAATAAAATATCGTAGTGGTTCAGATTCGATTGTGCTCATTTTTAGTCGTTTTCCATAGGTCCTTAGAAGTAGTACATAGAACAATCACACCCTATTCAATTGAAGTAGCCCAAATGCCTTTCCCTTTTTTTATTGCACGGTTCCCTACTTGTGGCCTAAAGACTAGCACAGTATTTTCAAGTTTGCCGCCTTGGTGGTTCAGAGGCAAAGCGCTGGCCTACGTACCCCGAAGTGTCGGTTTCGAATAGCCGAGATGCCCGCAATCTGACGGACCCTTATTGCACAGAAGGTGCGGCGCAACTGAGTTATCGTTCGTACGTCGAAAGGTTCTCGGGTGGACGAAATTATTCTTCAGTCCCCCGCCGGGGCGTGACGGTCGTTTGGTTTGGCACGTTAAAACCCTTAAAATTTGTTTTAATTTTCGAGTGTGTGATAAGTTGATTACGCCGCACCCTTTAAAGTGTTAGAGAAGCATGCCTCATAGTTCGGGTGCTTCATTATAACACCTTGTTCTTGGGCTGTGTGATCACTCCACCTTTTTCGAAATGTGCTCAAAATTACACCACCATCTTACGGTATTTTGCCACACGGATAAGGGGTGTTAGCTACGGGACAAGCCCAAAATATTATTGATGGTGTTAAAATATTTAGCGTATATATGATTAGGCAGCGCAAGAAATCTCTGCAGCTAATTAAACAATACTAAACATGTATTGACAGGGCGATCGTCCTGTTCGTGGATCTTCTTTCTCTCACGCACTAAAACAATCACGCACTATACATAACGCAGCACCCGCAACGATTCACGTCGCATTAACTTTTCGTGTTTCGATTAGCCGGTGATACGAACCAGACGAAGGCACCTTGACGATATACATTCGGCGCTCTTTGAATGCCTGCATCCGACGGTGCCTCCAGTGGGAGACAATGTGACGTGGAGTACTTTAGTCAAGGCCATTGTAGCCCAGGCGCAGGAGCGGCTTCTTCGTTCCGGAAGGCTTAGCGGAGGGGGAAACGCGGTCTACATAAGCGTCCTGATGTGACAAGGAATATAGTGACGTACGTGTATTTTATCATGAAACTCGTACGTGCGATGCGTTACGAACGGAGATTCACTACATCGCCACTACTCTTTTGATTTGTTTTTCTGAGAGCCTATATTATAGAATATTTTAGAACAGGGCAATAGGGGAATAGGGTTTCACTTTTATTTTTTTCTCAGTTTAAAATGACGTTTTCTGATGATTTTTGCGTGTCGACTAATACGGTGCTCAGTGATGTTTTTTAGTTTCTTTTTTTTTCGTAATCATCGAGAACATGGACGATCTTGTTTGGATATTGATATTTCCGAAGCTTCTGCAGAATGTACTGAGCCCGAGAACCCGTCAAGTCCCGTAGCACGACTTTTTTTCTTGGCTCCATCATCAGGTGTAATGGAAATAAACTAATAATATTATTATAAAGCTTTGAGTAGACGAACGATACCGTCTACGCCACTGCGCATGCGCCGAACGCTAGCCGCGTTTCGCGCTCTGCGTGCGCTATTTTAGCGTATGCTATTTTTTCGGAAATTGAGTGCGTACTCAATGAGTCTTTGCGCTCTTTCGAGTGCCATTCGTGATGCACGCCAAATTTGCTAATGCCATGACCCGCACAGACAGAAAAAGGCGGCTCCCAGGGCCTCGGCCCCTTTGGCAGCCGTCGTGAGCGCGGCGTCGGCGGCATTCTCGCTACTGCAGATTTTAAGACACGCCGACATTGAATTTCTACGGGAGGTGCACGTCATGACCGACTCGGAGGACCCAGCAAGAATGGCAGCGATCGCCGGCCACTTGCTCCTCACGACCCGCGAACAATTCTCGGGGAACGTGCGTCGGGTATATGTACGAAGGTCAGTACACGATACCTCGATACCTGTCATGCCTAGGCGACGCAAGCGGACACGACCAGTCGGCCATTCTCGTCGCATTCTCATCGTTAAACTATCCTAAAAAGTTACTCTGAGACAAAACATTTACTTGTTTTAAATTGAGACGCTTCGTGCGTGAAATAAAAATTGTTAGCGTAACCTGGTGGCGTTACAAGCGCGAGATGCTCGGGATTTCACGTCGCAGTGGAAGAACGCTAATCTAAACCCTTCTTTCGTAGCATACGTTAAAGTAAGTGCTAACTTAAGCACCAGCGTCCGTCATAATTGCGTACCTTGTTTTAAAACCCCCTAACAATTAGCGCTTTGGCCAGCATTTCATTGAATGGGGGTACGTCGCATTACCAGTTTCAAAGCTAAAAACAAAGCGTGCTATTCGATTCAATCGTATATTCCCACACCGGCCAGATTGAGGAAGCAAACATGTGTCTCGCTGCAATGACAGCTCTGCACATCCGCTTTTCGCTGGGCGCGTATGCTTTGACCTCGACGCAAGCTAGCGTAAACACCGTGTTAGAGATATACCCGCTTCAAAACGTTAATAAAGCTGCTTTTGCCGCTGTTGAGGCACTCAAATAATGTCAATGAGGGAGCTGCATATAGGCGTCACTTATTGCACAAGTACCATGTTTTACATGGCGTGGCGCACTGAGAAAACATTGAAAAAGATTCGTTACACCCACGGAGAAGCATGGGAAACCGGACCCACGACAGGTTGCCATTAGCCTCATATGGAGGAGACGTCTTGGGGCGTCAATTTCCACCAAGGCACGGAAAGAACTTTATGTGGTGCTACGCCGCGGGCAGTGACGACATTTGTATAGACAATTGCAAGCATGGCGCCACAAGTGGTGCCCCATGCGTGCAAGCGCGTGCAACGCGCGGGTGAACGTAGCTTTGGCAAGCTCGTAATCGCACGGGCGTGCCTGCTCGAGCAGAGACATGGCGGCGGCCAGTCGCCCAGCTTGCAATCGTCTATATACCAGTATCCTACACTGTTCGGCGGGGCCAACAACAACACAGAAACCTAGCCATCTTGTTGGTCCCGCCCCCGAACAGTGTAGGATACTCGTATATACAAATGTCGTCACTGCCCGCGGCGTAGCACCAGATAAAGTTCTCTTTTTCAATGTTTTCTCAGTGCTCCACGCCATGTAAAACATGGTACTTGTGCAATACGTGTTGCTTATATGCAGCTTAATCAATGACATTATTTGAGTGCCTCAGTAGCGGCAAA